TACAATTTATAAATTTTATTATTTAATTAAATAATAGTTTTATTTAATTAGTTTTGTGTTATTTTTTGGTCAAGTTATTGATGGCATCGATTAAATTCAATTGAATTGATTTAAACCGTGATTTTGTGTGCAATTCCTCGTAATCGTAAAAATCACAGCTCTCTGTCTTGCCTTTGGCCAAAGTATTCAAATACTCAATCACCGGATCCATCACTTCATTGATATGAGTGGACACTCGCTTTTGGACGCCGTCTTCTTTCGGATACTTTGGCACCGTTTTTGTTATCCAGAGTTTTAAAAAACTGCAATAAATGGCCCAAAACTTAGTTATGAATAATAGTGAACCCTTAAAACACGTGCTAAAAGCAAACATGTATTACCAGACAATTTGTGACATCTTGATGGTGGTCTCGGGTCGGGCCGCGTCCGCCAGTATGTTCTCGAGGAAACGTCGGTAATCTTTGGCCTCAAAGCGTTTCTCATTCATAATCCGCGTCTGTTTATCGCCCGATCGAGCCATCGGTCCCTTCGCTTTCTTGCACTCGGCCTCTGGTATGAGCGCCGACCCGAACATCACTTGTGCCGCTTTCTGTACCGCTTTATTACCCCGATATTCCTTCGCGATGTGCTCAATGAGGTCACCCTTCAACGAGCTAAACATGTTTACAGTTTAATTATGTATATAATAAGTGGTAGATAATGTGATTATGTGATCATGGTCATACTTGAGATTGATATAACAGGCTTTACCAATCTTAGTGATGGTTGGGTACGAGAATCTGGGATCGCCGTAATTGAACAGAAAGGCTATCACTTCATCCCTCTTCTCGATGGGCGACAACGAGTTAATCATCTGGATATTGTCCTCCAATTTGGCCATCGTTTCCATTAACACTGTTTTTAATTATAGCATAATTAAAGCAAATGTTATTTTTTTGTTGTAAATTTATACTTATAATTGTGATGTAAATAATAACACATTTTATTACAAACATTGTGTTTAATTTTTAAATTTTATTCACTTTTAATTATACATTAAATATTTCGACATAATTATTTATATTATCGTAATTTCATAATTAAAGTTTTAATTAAATATTTTCTTAGCAAATATGTTAATAAACTATGAAAAACAAAATTTCAATAAAAACATGGTAATAAGAAAATAACTCTTATTTATATAACAATAAAAATAAAATACAAATAATGTTTAATCTGCAAATAAAATTGAGAAATAAAAATACAATTTAAAACAACACAAATAGTCTATAGTTTCGGTGATTTCTTTCTCTGGTCGGCGATCGCGTCACTCAAAGCCCGACACAAAACGCCTACACTTTGGTCGTTGGCGTTGACGCCGAGAAAGCCTATCCTCCAAATCTTGCCGGCGGTCGGACCCAAACCCCCAGCGATTGTAATGTTATAGAAATCCAACAAATGTTTGATCACTTCATTGCCGTTCACGTCATTGGGAATGAGCACCGATAGGATGGGCGGCAGCCGGTGCTCAGGCTTTTCAACCAAAAACTTCAGACCCAGAGATGAGATATGTTTTTGAACAATTAGACTGGACTTCATATGTCTGTCAACAGTGTGACTGAGGCCCTCCTCGGCCACCATTGCCAGCGCTTCCCTTAAACCATACATAAGGGAAACGGCGGGCGTGTAATGGTATACAAACTGGTGGTTATTGTCGTCGTCCAGACCCCAGGCTTTGGCCAACCAATTGATGTCCATATAATAGGAGTCAACGTCTGTCCGACGGTTTTTAATGTGTCGGACGGCGTTGTCGTTGAGGCTAATCATCGAGACTCCGGGCGGACCGGACAGCGCCTTCTGAGCGGCGCAATAAACCACATCAATATCCAGCCGATCCGTGTCTAGCGGTGCGCTACACAGCGATACCACGGCGTCTACCAATAATAGACACCCGTTTTGGTGGCAAACGCGACCGATATTGTCCATCGGCTGAAGTGTACCGACACTGGAGTCGCCGTGACATACGTACAACACCTTTGGCTTGTGCTCTACTATAGCCTCTGTAATTGACATTTATGTAAATTTTGTGTACATTTATTTGGATGTTTGCAAAAACAGACCTTCAATTTGTTTCAAACTGAAAACATCGCCCAATTTGTCAATCTTTAACTCAACCACATTATAGCCGCGTTTACGGCCAATAAGGGCCACTCTCTCACCCCATAAGCCGTGCGACAGCACCAGAAACGTGTCGCCCCTCTCCAGCAGATTACAAATGGCGGTTTCCATAGCACAGGTACCCGACCCAGTGATGGCCAACGAGTATTGGTTGCGAGTTTGAAACACGTAACGAATGCCGGCGGACACGTCTCGGAGCACCTGTACATAGGGAGAGAGATCATGATAACAATTGTTTTGTTATACTCATCATTTTCATTCAAATTGGTTCAAATGTTTAGTACTTTGAAAAATTGCGGATCCATATGATTAACAACAGGCAAACCACAAGCCTTGAGCACTCGTTGGCTGACATTAGTGGGCCCGGGAGTCATCAATTGGCGCTCATTGATGGATAACGGTTTGCTGAGCTCTACGGGCGGTGCGATCTGTTCAACGGGTGATACACTCGCGGATGACATCATTTTTTCAAACACAAACTTTTTGGGAGAATTAACTCTAAATAGAAATTTTAATTGATGTTTAAATACTGAAAACATACTTAAACTGAACTAAACATTCAATGCATAACATACAGTGCATACCAAACACTGAAATTGTGTAAACAGTATGATTAGGCTAGTTTTGGGTAAGATAATCTTGGTGTTTACATTTAGGAATTAATTAAAATGATAATCGTTTTACAGTGCAATGCAAATTAACCTGTACGCAATCACTTTACTAGATGACTTAATAATAAATTTATTTACAAGATGTCTTAAAATTGAATAGTTAATAATAAGCAGTATGTCTTGACTACAGTATTTCCTGTTTATAAGTTAACCCCTAATTTGTAAAAACAAACCTTTGCTTTAGATTAACTTTATTGATTGTTTATTGTGATTTTGACATCGACTGCTTAATTTAACTTGTTAATTTATATAATTAATTAATTGATTGGTGGAATCAAAATATACCATGGTTGTATCATCAGGTTCATGGTTGTAAATTAGTTTTATGGAAATATTTTTGATTAAAAGTGTAATCAATATTGAGTTTCAATGAACCAAAACACATGTATAGTTAGAAAAGTTTTATCAATAATTTTTAATTGATCTCTGTTTGAAGGCTCGTTGGGTGACGAAAGTGGGGGTAGAGGTGGCGGAAAAAGCGGCGCTCAACCCGTGAAGAGCAGAGTGTCGGACATGAAAACAGCATCAGTGGTGGCGAAAGGCAAACC